ATATCAGATTGCTAAATGGCTAACCTGGGACTGCACCACCAGGCAACAAGGAAGGAACAGGTGGTGCCATGTCAAAACCACTCGTTCGCTTGCTGTAGAACATACATATGCAACAAGTCACAATCAAATTAAACAACTTCAAAACCAAGATAAAAACAGCACAACTTTCCGATAACTTTTTTTCAAATGACAAACTGTCTTCTTCTTTCTTTATTTCCTATTTTTCTTCTTTCCTTCTTTCTTTCTTTTTAGTTTTTCGGACTACACAATGGGGATTTAACAGAACTAATATAATGAAAAGTTGGAATTAATGATATGCGATTGCTTACAAGAAAAGAGACGTAAGCAAAGCAAAAGACGGGTGAAACAAGACAACAAACTGATATTGAGCTTAGCACGCACAAAACCTCATACATGATAACATCATCTGGTAAGGATAATCACCTATTGAACAGAGCCACTCTCACATCAGAAGATTTTCAGAAAAGCTATAAGGTAACTCTAATTCATGCAAAAAAATGTCAACAATTGATGCTTTCTAGAAAGATGAAAGGTGTTAAAATTTACCATCACCTACCACACACTTACCATCACCTACCACACACTCACCTACTACACTCACCTACCACCACCATCCACTACACCTACATCTATATAAGGAACCATTTATAATATACAGAAGATGAACAATCAATACATCAATCAATAATACTTCATTTTTTACATGGTATCAGAGCTATAAGATTTAGGCCTATCCTCCTTTCTTTCCGGCGGGCAGCCGGCCGGCAACCTTGCCTTCGCTGCCCGCGGGAGTTTTTTTCAACACATATCACAAACACATACCTTGATCATTTGTGGTGGGAGGTTTAGCTCTCTCAACCTGCTCTCTCTCCCTCTCGGAAAACACTACTGCACTCAACGCATTCCTCTCTCTCCCTCCATTTGATGAACTCCATTTCCGGCAAATTCAGATCCGGAGCCCCGGAGACTCCTTCACCTTCCCGCCGTCCAGTGGGTTTTCCTGGGCTGCCCTGGAACCCCGGCGACTCCTTCGCCGCCGCTTGAATCCCACGCCGCCGCTGCTGAAGACGGTGTCGGAGACCGACGACCTCGTACAGCCGAGGGAGCTCACTCCCCTCCTCCACATCGTCACCCTCTCCGAGCTCGCCGCACGACGACAAGTTCAAACCCTAGCCTCCTCTGGTCTTCTTCGCGAGCCTCCGCAAATGGAACTGCAGTGGAGCTTGAAGCATGCCATGAGAGGCTCGTACACAAGTTTATTAGCATTAACACCCCAAAAACAAAATCAGAGTGTGCATAGTCCTTCTTGTACTGCACCACAAGTTTAGTGGCACGATGACCTTTGAGAGTAGCTAGAAGTGTCTTGACATCCTTGACTTCAGAAAGCACGTCCTGGCATCCATGGCTAAGGAACAGAGGAAGTTCCTTTGGGATGCTTGCCATGTTGTAAACTGGTGGAGTCGGCTGTCCATAGTGCTGGTTGTTCTCGAACTTATTCCCATAGTCATACATTGCTATGGTACCCCATCTAATCACTGTTCCCAACCCACAATCTCTCTCTCTCTCTCGGGCCTTGTCTCCCTCTCTCTCTTCCTTTTAATTAACTGTTTTACACACCACCTCCACCCACATGGGTTGGTTTCCCTTTTCCTCATCAATATATTCCCACACTCTTCCACTTTCTTTTCTTTCTTTTTTTTATATCACCCACGAGCCTACTCCTTCAGCTCCTTATTTTCCGCCTTCAGCACACTTATCTCTGCTCGCGCATCCTTATACATGCGTTGGAGCAGAGCCAGCTGGGAGTTTAACTGCTGCACCTCATTTGCCCTACTCTGCAGCCGGTTCGACAAGTTTGTAACCGCAGTCATGGTTTTCACAAAAAAAAATTTAAAAAAAAAAAAAAAAAAAAAAAAAAAAAAGAAGACGCAGGAAGATCTGCACACCAAACTCATTTTATTCATATTGGGGTTCACCCCGATCACCATTTTACACAACACAAACAAAAAAAAAAAAAAAATCAACCCAAAAAAAAAAAAAAAAAAAAAAAAAAAAAAACAACCAAAAACACAAACAAAACAAAACCAACACAAATCGGAACAGTGGGATTTTTCTTCTCTACTCTGCCGCCGGTCTCTTTTTCTTGCCTCCGTCCTGAGCGGCCCTTGACGGTATTGCCTCCGTGTTTTCCACGCCGCCGAGCACGTTCACTCCCCCATACTCCTCCACTGCAGCATATGACGATCATGAGGTATGGTAGTATATTAAGATGATGTGATGACCTAGTAGAAGATCAAATAGGATTTAGGGTACTACAAAAAGTTTGATATTCTTTTCATTACCCACTGTTTGCCACTGTTCTTGAAAATGTAACTAAAAGCGATCGCACAACTCCCGAGGAAAAGCCCTTGACACATACCAAAAGTAAAGCAATGGTGAGGACAAGGACTACGAAAAACAACCATCCTTATCAGGAAGCCTGGCTAAGACTGCACAGCCTTTCTCGCATTCAACCTAGATTTCTTTACACCATTTTCCTGTACAAAGTCTTTGTACCAGTGTATAAAACACTGACACTTCCAGTGCATCAAAATGTCTTGCATCAGCCACTAGATCACTTTCACCTAGAAGATCAATTCCAACTAGTTGGGATATGAGAATTAGTGGTGATTAATCAGAGACATTTATACATAGCAAGTGGCCATGGGTGGCTTGATAAGAAATCTTGTTGTGGCAATTATTATACTGGCAGTAAAACACAAGAGATTCTTTTGATTCCAACAAGCACCCAAAACAATTTCCCAGTCAGAGAACAAGATGTGTTTTACCTAACTTAAAATCAAGGCCCTAGGATCTGACCCCTACGAGTTGACTAAACTACAATTAGAATTATGCTTAATGGAGTCATCTTGATTCTTAAACAAATACCATTCAACTAGGACTGGTAGGAGGTCTACAAGTAAAGAGAAACTTTGGACAAAAAAGTAAATTCACAAAAAAGAGACAGAAAATCCCTTGTTCTTCCACTACAACTCTAAAAATAAAGACACCAAAATAGAATTCACCTTTTTACATTTGTTACAATAGTTTTCTTATTGCTGTAGGTGTAATAACACTGTCTCTATGACATCTTGTTCACAAACCTTCATCACATCAACCTTATAAGATGTAAATTGAGATTTCCTAGTGATCAATCATAGAAAGATTCTCTATGGCACGGGCGAGCTCATCAATTGTAGTGAGCATTTAATCACCCAAAGTTAAGATCTAAAACATTTATATCCAGTCTATTTGGAGGTTGAAACAACAAACTTATTTCAAATCTGTATGTAGCCTTAGCTTCAAAGTATTTGTAAATTTTTTGATCAATGAGTTTTGTGCTCTCTTGTTGATTAGTATTCTATTGATTGTACCATGTTGTGACCTTTTAGCTCGAATAGCTGGTTCCATCTTGTCAGTCAAACATTATAGCATGACATATTTGTGTTGGACAAAATTGGCTGTCAGCTTGTCCGAATGCAGCAACTACCAGATTCTCCCCATTTTTTGTTTGTTTCGATTCTTATTGTAAATTTAAATATTTCAATCTCACTGGAAAACTCTTGTGCTAGATTTATTAAATCGCGGCTAAGCTAGAAACTTTTGTGATGGACCATTTGCTTTTGCAAGTATTCAAAGTTTTCATTTTCTTCAGGAGTGAGATAGTGTGTTTCCATTGATTTGGACTCGTTAAAAACATGGTTAGACATTGGCTGCTATTGAGACTATATGGCATACTTGAACACATAACAGCCTGATAGGTAATATGAGCTATATGCTGATTACTGCATCCTTTTGTCATGAAGAAAGTATTATATTAGCATTTGTTGTGGCATTTCTATGACATTCATCGGAGATTATGTTTTCTTTATATTCTTTGCATTTAATTTTCCAGTTTCAAAGGCTTCTTTCCAAGTGACAGATGCCATTACTAAAGATGATAGAACACCCATTGTGATAGTAATTCCTGGCTTAACAAGTGATTCTGCCTCGGCTGTAAGTTTTTGTTTATTTATTTATTTGTTTACTGTATTCTCCTACCCTTTTACTTCTGAGTAAATGCTGTAATTTTATATGAAATGTCTGGTGCTTCTTGGAATGTAGAGTTCAATTACAAGTCAACCTACATATGTAATCACGACATGTCTGAGCAGAGGTTTTCAAAGATCTAGAAGTTTAAGATGTGCTTTATATATGTGGGAGATCCAGTGGTGAGTAGGTTAGTAAGTAGAGGTGAGCCTTTTGCAAAGAATGCGGGTTTTGGGCTAGTGTTGGACCAATGGTGGTGGGTGGGTGTGAGAGCTGAGGTGGCCTTCGGTGGGGATGGAGAGAATGGCGACGAAGGAGATTTGGAGATGATTAGACATGAAGTTGGAGGATACATTATATGTAGAACGGTTAGCCAATGGAGGCTAGCTCACATTAGGGTGCAAACAACATGTGCCCGAGCGGGTACAAGGGATGAGTTGCTACCTTTTATTGGCTTGAGAGGGGCAGATTGGGTACAAATCTAACCGTTGACATTATTTGCACAAAATGGCTGACTCAGGTTTGACACCGAAACCCAAAATGAAGCCAAATAAAAACAAATCCCCTTAAAAGATGGAGACACCGAAACCAAAAATGAAGCCAAATAACAATAATTTGGGTTATTTGGTTGGAATGGGGTGCAAGAGTTTTTTAGAAGTTGTCTGAAGATATAGAGAGAGTATATGGAATGAACTTGGTCGTTTACACTTCTAAGGTTCTAACTTTTATCACCTAACTGTCTCAAGTAAAAAGACTTGATTGCATTTTCCTCTGCTTTCCTTTAAATTTTTGTTTATCCAAGTACCATATTGTAGTGTCTTTATCTATTTATTTGGAAATATGCGACACCCCTAAAACATCCCCCGTAAACTTACCCCTTATGACGTGGACTATTGCACATCAGTTGTTGATTTGTTTATGAATCAACCTAGACCCAACCCCCTGCTACGTCGTTGTGGGTAAATTTAGGGGTGATGTTTTAGGGGTCTGTAGCATTACTCTTTCTTGATGATTCAGAAGTAGTAGATTTTTTCCCCTGCTTTTTTCTGTTGGCTTTTCTTGACTAGAATCCTGTATTAGCAAAGCAATTCCTTGTTCTACCATCTTTTCTTTTGCTCAAAGTTTGCAAATGTGTTACAGTATATAAAACATTTTGCATTCAAGATGGCAAATTGTGGTTGGAATGTTGTTGTCAGCAATCATCGGGGGCTAGGCGGAATATCAATTACTGTAAGTATTCCCTTGATGACCTTAAATAGTCTCTGTTTTAAAAATCCAGCAAGCTGCCCTACATCAGATTCTTTTCTCCCTCTTTTTGATAGCTAAGACAAATACACATATCTTCACCTGCATCCATTTGGGAGATGAACCCTGCATCTCCATGTTTAGGGTGGTAGGAACATAACGCTGATTTGGATATTACAAGCAGCTTGTCATGTATACACTTAATTAAGGTGTTTTTGGTGTTATTACATTCTGGCAGTCTGATTGCTTCTATAATGCTGGGTGGACAGAGGATATACGTAAAGTCATTGATCATCTCCACTGTAAATACCCAGAAGCTCCTCTTTTTGTTGTTGGAACTAGCATTGGTGCCAATATTCTGGTAATTAATTTCTGTGGACTTTGTCTGACTTTTTGGGTTTATAAATAAACTTTTTTGATTTATACTAAGAATACAACTCGGTAATTCTGCATTTTTATCTCAACATATAAAATAAATAGACGTTCCCAACTTTAGACTATTCTACATGCCTTGCCTTGCTGCTCTACTCTTGCTGTTCCACTTATTCGTCTAACAAACGTACTAATGCGTAATAAAAATAAATTTTAAACCGTACTTAGTTGATCATTTATCGAATATCAAAATTGTAATTTTGCAGTTTGATGAAGTACATTTTTACATGGTATCAGAGCTATAAGATTTAAGCCTATCCTCATTTCTTTCCGGCGGGCAGCCGGCCGGCAACCTTGCCTTCGCTGCCCGCGGGAGTTTTTTCAACACATATCACAAACACATACCTTGATCATTTGTGGTGGGAGGTTTAGCTCTCTCAACCTGCTCTCTCTCCCTCTCGGAAAACACTACTGCACTCAACGCATTCCTCTCTCTCTCCATGTTGATGGAAGCTCTCCAAATCCGGCGACAACCACTACCCACAGACCTCCATTTGATGAACTCCATTTCCGGCAAATTCAGATCTGGAACCCCGGCGACTCCTTCGCCGCCGCTTGAATCCCACGCCGCCGCTGTCGTAGTGGAGGCAGCTTGGCTCCGGGCACACGAAAACCCGCTTCCTCACCTCCGGCGACTCCCTCTTCAACAACTTCCAAGGCACCTTATGACGCCGCCGGTGCATCTGCAAATTCTGATCCCTCTGAAATCCTTGATTGCAAATCTCACAGACGTATCGGTCCGATTCCAATAAAGTCTTGGGGGAAAGAGAGACAACTTCGGCGTCTGGATCTGTACAGCTGTTGAAGTGGGTGCTGTTTCTTTCAGCTTTACTCATAGATAGAATAGAACACAATTGGGAAGAGAGAGAGAGAGAGTCCACCCCATTACCCAAAGCCACCTTTTTTTTTTATTATTCCTTTTTGGTTCTCTCCGTGCATAGCCCACTCACCAACTCTCTCTCTCTTTAATATTCTCTACCTTTTCATTTTTAAACAAAATGCATACACACCCACCGAACCCAGCTCTCTTCTCTCTCTAGATTCCTAGGTTTCTCTCTCCCTTTACACCCTCTCTTTTTCTTTCTTTTTCTTTTACTAATATTTATCTCCACTAGCCCACTTTAATCCCATCTCATGATTCCCACTCTTTCTTTTGTCAGACTCCACACCACCCACAATATCTGTCGCGAGAACCCACTATTCATCCCACTAGGAGTATATAAAATATATATATATTAAAAAAAAAAAAAAAAAAAAAAAAACAATTTACAACATGTTGCACAACACCATATATTCATCTCCGGGATCAAACCCCGTTCACAATTTTACACAAAAAAAAAAAAATAAAAAATAAAAACCAACCAACCACAAACAAAAACAACAAACCACCACATCCACAGGCTGGGATTTTTTCTTCTACTCTGCCGCCGGTCTCTTCTTCTTGCCTCCGTTCCTGGGCGACTCTTGCCGGTGTTGCCTCGTGTTTCCCACCTTCCACTGGGCACGATCACTCCACCATACTCCTCCACTGCAGCATATGGTGGCCCTCAAAATCGGAACATCACGGTGGCCTTCCGCTTCAGCCTCTTGTTTTCTCCCTTAGCCACGCCTTATCTTTGGCTCGCGCATCCTTATACATGCGTTGGAGCAGAGCCGCTGGGAGTGTTACATGCTGCACCTCATTTGTTCTACTCTGCAGCCGGTTCGACAAATTTGTGACCGCCGTCATCCTTTCCACACATGCCTTCAGGTATTATGATTGGCCTCCACATTACCGACTGCACAGCATTTTTTGCTCCACCGACCGCATCGGAAAGTTCAACGGCCGCAAAACCTGGCAGTGTTGTTGAGGTTCACTGGCCACCGCACCCGTTATTCTCTTGTTGAACTCGTTGAGGTCAGGAAGAGAGTCAGCAGGACTACGGGACGACGAAGCCATTTTTCTCTCGCAACAGAGTGTACAGACTCTCTCTCTCAGCACAACAGTGTTACCGCCTCTCTCTCTCAGCCCACAAACGAAGAGTTTTTACAGAGGATTTCGCAGGTTTTTTGCTTCTGCCTCGGCCTCAGGGGCTCTGTCTTGATTAAATAGCCGCGCAGCCTACGCGCATCGCGCGCCTCTGACGCCAGACAAACGGGCACGCCAGGCCCAGGCCACTCACGTGCCTCGCCATCATATCGGGCACGCCTTTTTGATGACTCGGGCATGCCTTTTGATGGCACGCCTTTGACAGATTGGGTTACACCTTTTGAGCGGCACGACTTTTGAGGGCTCGATATCTACATCCACTATATATTTTTGGGCAGCCTATATACACACTCATACAGTTCCTTCTACACCGGTCAACTTTATCAATCCCTTTGTTTCAACCTCAAATAGTTTCTATCTTTACACCTATTTGCAGTTTGAAGGGGGTATACCACAGTATCATGTATAAGTCCACTCATGGCGCACCTCCCTAAGTCGCCCCCTTTGGTGCACCACCACAGCTGCTACAACGGTCCGACATGACCCCATAAACTTCTTCTACAACGGTCTGCACACGACCACAACAGTGTCTGCTACAACGGTCGACATGGACCCCGTAAACTTTCGCTACATCGGTCCGACATGACCCCGTAAAACTGTCCTGCTACAATGGTCCGACATGACCCCGCTTAACTGTTCTGCTACATCGGTCGACATGGACCCCGTAAACTGTCTTCAACACGGTCC